TCGTATATCATTTGTTGTATATCATTTGTTCAATATTATAAATAAGCATCGAAGCACAAACTTTAGCTATTAGCATACCAAATATTATAAAGAGGATATTTCATGACCTATCTTTTCATACTTTATTAAATATTTTCCATTGTCAATTGGCATGAATTTTTTAAAATTGCGCCATTGTCTACATACTTTTACTACATATTTCTATGCAGTCAGAATAAAGCTAATATATGTTCTATATATAAAAATATTAATAAGTAACATCTTCCCCCTTGTGCCATCTTCTTCCGATTTACTTTATACATAGCAAGCGCGCGCCATAAATATGTAACGGACGGTTTACAATAGACTTCCCCATAGCAAAAAAACGTCATAATTACATTACAACAATCATGGTTACGTCATAGTGACGTGCGAATGTCCGCTTTATCATAAATGTGATGTTACAGCAATGTCATGGTGATGTGCGAATGTCTTTGTAGCATGTGTTATTTTGTTATGACAATCTCACAATGATATTTTCTTCTTGATTACTTGTGACGTGTGACTCTTTGCTATGGAAGTTATTTGTCATCGGTAATGCTAAATATGTATTAACTCAAAATGTGTTTAGTTATTTATTTTAAGTTTTTTTTATCAGAGGTTATTATGTGGTCTTGGAATAGCTGATTAGCTGTAAATAATTAAATATAGGCGTAAACAACATGACAAATAATCTTGAAACTTTAAACGCATTTTTCTCGAAACAACATTTTTCGATCTAACGGATCTGATAGAGCAAATACTATTAATTGTATTGTTATGCCCGTGTTTTACCGACGTGTAGCGAAGAGCACGCGTTGCCGAGACGATTAGACATTCGTCTGTCTGACAACAAGATCGTCAGATTTGGATGTAAGCAGTTGGCGCGTACGGACATATCTCTTGATTGCTCCATCGAACATCTTTCGCGGTTTCTATATTCTGCATTAATAAACGCTTCTTGTTCTTCTTATTAACATTCGTGTTATTCATTTTGACGGTTTGGGAGTGCGTATACGTGTGCGCGTCCGCGATGATCGCGACCTCGTAAATCAGCCGCGCGGACAAAACATTTTGGAGGCTCGTCCGGGATCGAGAATAGTCCCGATAGCGGTTAATGTTCCGCTCGCCAATGAACACGAGGAGCTCATTCTTAACGGAAACATATGGAACACGAGGAGCTCACTCTTAATGAAAACGCAAATTCATACTACTTCTTGCCGTCACGTCGCCGGCGGAGACTGCTCCGTTCTCGCGCGTGAATGTTGTGATGTGCGTACTACGTCGCGAGAGAAAATGGGTTTCAAGTTAAAGCCGAATATGTTCGACGGTAGTGTGCCTTTACGCGAATTCTTTTCTCAATTCAGTTTGATCGCGCGTGCGAACGGTTGGTCTGAAGAGACGAAAACTGTTGTCTTAGTGTCGTATCTGAGGAAAAAAACGCGCGCGATTTTAGAAAATGTAGAGAACCTTGGAACTTTAGATTTTGCCAAATTAAAATCAAAATTAGAGTTGCGCTTCGGAGAGAGTCAATTGGCACAGAACTATTATTCACAGTTTACGAATAGAAAGAAATTCGACAAAAATCTGGCTACGTTAGGCGCGGATATTGAAAGATTGTTGCAGTTGGTCTATTCGGAGTGCGCACATCCGATTCAAGATAAAATTGTACCCAATTTGCTCCGCCTTGTCGCCTAACTTCATGAAAAAAACCCTTCAGTTGAAGGGAGTGACATCTCTTAGAGTAGCGGTTGAAAGGGCTAAAGCTGTAAAATTAATTCATAAAAATAGTTTTAGCCATAAGGCCAATATAAAATATTTCAACGAAAGAAAAAGAGAAAAAATTGAAGATAATAAAGAAAAAAAGGACAGAAGAAATAATAATAAATTAAAACCAAAAACGGTACAAAAGTCAGTAATAAGAGGAAATGTTGGGAATGTGGTAAGGAAGATCGCTTTGGCTCCTCGTGTCCGGACAGGACGGAGAACAGGAAACAGGGTATAGTCGAACTGGTTAGGCAAGCTCGATTAAAGTAGAAATAACCCCGAAAAATAATTGTTTTATGGTTAACCAATGTTCTTGTAATGCTATTGACAATGTATGTACTAATAATTATTCTTTCAGATTTAATAAAATTAAAAGTAAAAATAATTGTTGCGCTAATGATCAATATTCTTTGAATGATAATTTGTGTGCTAATTCATGTTTTTTTAGGATAAATAGAATTAAGCATAATTTGCGGGAATTTTGCTATAAAGGTGAGGCAAATGATAAACCTTGTATTTTTTAGGATCAATACGAGTAATATTTCCATAATAAATTAAAGATTTATCGAATCGGATGTATTAAGAATAGAAATAAAGAATTGCAATGTCAACTACCCCACGGGGAAACAGATTATAGTCAAATATAAAACCATAACCAAAGTTTGATTTGCGAAATATTCCCTGAAAGTTCCAATGTTGATTACTAAAATAAACGATGATTATATTTTAGGAGTTGATTTTCTTAAATTATTTAATTTGCAAAATATCTTTACCATTTTTCTCAATTTATTTGTTGAAAATAATGCTAATTTTGATTATTGCATTGAACATGTTGTAATGGTTCCATCGAGTTTAATGCCTTTATTCGAAAAAAATTCTCGTTATTTAGATGAATCTGAAAGAGAAAGCTTTACCAATTTCCTAAATGAATTTTGCGATATATTTGCTAATGAGATTTTTGCAGGAAATTGTAAGGTCGAGGAGTACGTGATAAACAGGAAGGATTCTTCCTCTATAAAGCAGGCTCCTTGATGTATCTCAATGCAAATGAGAAGCGAAGTGAATAAAATTATTTCGGAAAGATCGTTAAAAAAGTTATTGAGGAATCTAATAGCTCATGGACATCACCTGTAATGTTAGTTAAAAAAATAGATGGGACAATAAGGTTTTGTATGGACTATCGCAAGGTAAATGCAATAATCATTAATAATTCCTACCTATTAACCAGGATAGACGATATCCTCGATCAATTAGCAGATAATGTTTTTCACTACTTTATATTTAAAAAGCGGATTATTGGCAAATAAAAATTCGTGCGGAAGATAGAGAGAAAACGGCATTTTCGGTCGGTACGGTTTATTGCAATTTAGAATTATGCCTTTTGGTTTATATAATGCTCCTGCAACATTTGAAAGAGTAATGGAACAGATTTTAAGAGAACTTTTTTATAAAGTTTGTTTAGTTTATCTTGACAATATAATTATTTTTGAAAAAAACTTTGAGGAAATGTTATTAAATTGTAGACAGATTTTTCTCCGGTTAAAGAAAGTAAATTTGAAGGTAAATCTAAAAAATATGTTTTCTTTAATAAGGAAATTAAATACTTAGGTTATGTAATATCAGCAGAGGAGATCACTACAGATCCAAAGAAAATAAATGCTGTGAGGGACTGGACAATATCTTAGAATAAAAAACATTTAAAAAGTTTCCTCGGGTTTTGTTGGTCTTATTATCGAAAATTTGTAAAAGAATTTTCTTCTCTGGGAAAGCCTCTCTTTGCATTAACGGAGAATGGGACTGAATTTGTTTGAAAAGAGAAATATCAAAATTCTTTCAACGAATTGAAACAAGCCGTAACTTCCTTTTCGGTTTTAGGCATTTCCTAAAATAGAGGGAGAATTTATTTTCGATACAGATGCATCAAATCAAGGAATTGGGTCTTATCACAGAAACAAGATGTGTAGAAAAAGTTTTGCTTATTTTAGCCAAGTCTTAAATAAAGCCGAAAAGAATTATTGTGTCATGTGACGCGAACTTTTAGCATAGTGCAGTCGGTGAAATCGTTCCATCATTATTTGTATGGACAAAAGTTTTTAATTCGCACAGATCATGCCTTACTTAAATGGCTGATGTCTTTTAAAGATCTAGAAAGCCAATTAGCGCGCTGAATGGAAAGATTACAGGAATACGATTTCGAAATCATGTATCGTAAAGATCTTTCACATAAAAACACGGACGGATTATCGAGGCGACCGTGCGCGAATAAACAGTGTCGTTATTGCTCTAATGTAGAAATTGAAAGACGCAACAAAAAAATTCTGTTAGACGGATAGCTTTAGTTGAAAAAAATTTTGAAGAATGGCGAAAGAGCAATTAGAAGATTCATGCATTTCATTATTTTTGTCCAAAAAGGAGATGGGAAAGGAGCGTCCGTTGTGGTAAAAAGTGGCAGCGAAAGACAGGGTGACCAAAGTTTATTGGTTCTACTGGGATTCTCTCGAGGTCAGAGGCGATGTCCTGTTCAAAAGATGGGAAGTTCCTAATTTGAAGAAAGTGGTTTTTCAATTAATTGTACCTTGTAGAGGGCGCGTGAGCCAGATCCTGGAGGAGAAGCATAACTCTCTTACTGTGAGACATTTCGGTGTCAATAGGACATTAGATAAGGTACGAAAGCGGTTCTACTAGGCGACATGTAAGCAAAACGTGGAGGAATGGTGTAGAACTTGCAAGGTATGTGTAGCAAGGAGAGATCCACCCGAAAAAGAAAAATCTCCTTTGCAGATATATAACGATGGCACTCCATTCGAAAGAGTTCAGATGGATATACTCGAACCTCTACCAGAAACTTCTTCTGGCAATAAGTATTTACTAGTCGTTGTTGATTGTTTTACCAAATGGGTAGAAGCTTTTCCTTTAAAGAATGTTAGGTCCAAAATTATTGCGGAAATGTTCTTAAACCAAATTATTTCCAGGCATGGGGTTTCTCTAAAGATTCACATCGGAAGAAATTTCGAGTCGAAAATTTTTCGCGAACTGTCGCGCATACAAAGAATCAGGAAAATGAGAACAACATCTTTGCATCCACAGTCGGACGGGCAGGTGAAACGTCAACATCGTATCATCTTGGACTATTTGGAAAAGTTCGTTTCCGAGAGGAGGATTGAGACCGATGGATCCCGCTGTATCTGTTGACGTACAAATCTGCCAAGCATGAAGCTGCGGGAATGACTCCAGGAGAGCTGTACTTCGCTCAGAATCTTTGTTTGCCCGCCGATTTATTACGTGGCAGTTTTCCTAAAACTGAGGAGGTTAATTCTCTTGAGGACTATTTAGGAAAAGTGAAAAGAAAGTTAGAAGAGATCCATAAAACTGTAAGGAAAAGAGTAGATATCAGATCTTCGCAAACAAAATCCTGGTACGATCAAAAAGCCAGGCAAATCCATTTTAAGGAAGGGCAGAAGCTCTGGCTGTATAATCCTCGGAGGAAAAAAGGAAGAACACCAAAGTTACAGAGCAATTGGAAAGGTCCATATTATGTAGTTAAGAAATTAAGTGCCAGTATATACTGTATTCGCAAGTCGAACAAATATAAAAATAAAGTAGTACATTCAGATAGACTAGCACCTTATGCGGAAAGACAATCGGATTCATAATTATAATGTATTACTACGAACTGCTAAAACCGCATGAAACCGTTACTTTAATTAATGTATTTTTTAATGTTCATGTGAAATAAATAACGTTCTTTCATTAAAAAAACGCTACGAATTAATTCCAACACCTAATAATAAATTAGTAAATCGGAGCCCTAGAATTACTTGATGGGAATAATAAAATTGATGCTAAATTGTACGATATAAACTGCGCTATAATGACTTTTTCAGTTTGAGAGTCCAAGAGAATTCTCAGAAATAAAAAATATCAACGGTGGCTTCGCGACGAAGACGGGCAAAGGAGAAATTAAAGTTTTTTTTAAGAAGACCGCCCGTCTCGCGGTTTTTGAACCGTGGTTTTTCCGCGGGACGATGGACAAATGCTGGAGCGAGGACTAGAGGCAAAGGTACTGCGGTACAGTTGGATTCCCCCCCTCTATTCGAAAAAAGAAGAACCACTCAAGGCTTCAAGAGAAAAGGCAAGAGGATCCTAAAGTTCCCTTCGCGAAGATGAGGGACTGCCCAAGCGGGTTCCTCCGGAGGATTAGCTATCCCCCGGGGAGGAACTGAAGAGGGGTCCTGCTCAGGAGGGAAGAAGACTCAGGAAGCCTCGGGTACGAAAGATTGGTCCCAAGATGACCAGAGTTCTGAAAAACTGTAGCAGCAGCGCAGTAAGGAGCAGGAAGCTGGTCGAAGGCTCTGAAACTCTTCGAGATGCCGGAATTAAAAGCCTCGAAGAAGTCGTGATTGTCTAGCGACAATCTTAAAAAAAGAGGGCAGTGTTATGCCCGTGTTTTGCCGACGCTCATGGTGTAGCGAAAAGCACGCGTTATCGAGATGATTAGGCATTCGTCTGTCTAACAACAAGATCGTCAGATTTGGAACTGTCGGCGCGTACGGACGTATCTCTTGATTTTCATCTAACATCTTTCGCGGTGTTCTGTTCTATAATTTGCATTAATAAACGCTTCTTGTTCTTCTTCTTAACATTCGTGTTGTTTATTTCGACGGTTCGGGAATGCGTGTGAGCGTCTACGAGCGCGACCTCGTAAATAGATCGCGCGGGCGTAATAATAATACTTTTTCTATCGCAAAAACGAGAGTACAATTTAAAATAAAAAAATCGAATTTTTTTTTCAAATAGTCTCCATTTTATTAATTTTTTTTTCAAAGTCAATTATCGTAATCTATTCAGTAGACACATTCTTTCTGAATAGAAAAATAGTTTTTTGAACTCTTTCAAATGGCTGGTGCGACCTGCCCCTGTATTCTGTAACTCGTTGTGACAGTAACAATATCGTTATATTGTCGTTGCGAAGATTTTATATATAGTAAAAAAAGTTGCGCAACGAAATATAACAATATCCTTACTGTCATAACGAATTACAGAATACAGGGGCTGCAGTATTTCTATTTTGGCGCCATATTCAAATCGGAGAGGCTTCTTCCTCGAAATTTTACGTAGATTCACAATCAATAAATTAACTTTATAAAATTTTAAATTAAAGAGAAAACTACTCAGTGAGAAATGACAATAAAATCGATGTCGATTTCATTATCATTTCTCACTGTATATAACAAAAAACAATGGGAGCGTTCCAAGTGAAGCGCATCATTGTTCTTGTTGTTCACCAAATAATAAAGAAGGATAAAACGATACATCATGCGCTTCATGTGTAACTCGGAACGCTCTCAATAAATATGTATCTTCATTATATTTTTTGAAAAAAATTTCCAATAAATCGCCTTTTTTTAGACCACAAAGTAGAATGGATCTTTAATATTTTGTTCTTGATTGATCTTGCGGCGATACCTGCGCATTCATATATGTATTTCCCTATTGTACTTTACCCTACAAAATTGCGATACATTTCGGATCCTACTGCAGCAAAATGATATATCCTAGCGAGAACAGAATAATTTCGCTCGCAGGTTTCCTTGCAGAAAGTTGGGTTTCTTTTAGTTTTTCTTAAACGGTGATCGAGAATATACGTGACGAATAAGAGTAACCTTAAAATACAATTAAACATCTTTATGCGCCCTAGACTAGAATTTTTCTGCAAATAGAATTTATTATTAATACGTTAAACGCGATGTCGATCTCTGGGGACCGATATTAAACTTTCCGTTTAAATAGCGTCGGTTCATAAAGATACGATAGCAATCAAATTTATTTTCTTATGGACTTATAATTACGACTAAAACTTTTGTAATGGTCTCTAGATGACTCAGTGAATCGCCTTCTTACCGCTCATCGCTATCTCTTGTTTACATTTTTTAAACTTATGTACTGGTTGAGCGTTTCCCCTTGCTTACACGGAAATTAAAACAAAATCAGCTGCTCGTTTAACGTATTAATAATAAATTAATAAAAAAAATTTACGATAATTTCTAGTTTCTGAAATTAAGATAAACATTCAATAGGAATCTTAGGGCGCGTTCATACCTTGACAGAAAGACAGAAAGCGGAAAAGCAACAGCCAATCAGAACTCGCGCTGATAGTCTACAATTTCGGCTTTTTGTACTACTTACTATCAGCACGAGTTCTGATCAGCCACTACTTTTCCGCTTTCTGCTTTTCCATCAAGGTATGAACGCGCCCTAAGATTCCTATCGAATGTTTACCTTAATTTCAAAGATTAGAATTTATCATAAATTTTTTATTAAAATCATGGTATGAACACGCCCTTACGGTAAATGCGAATTTTGTTTAGATCAACAAACATGGATAATTCTTATTCATAATTGTTACCTCTCTCTTTGTGTGCAGTCATATAGAATGACAATAAAAATATATCTCTAGTCGCGTATATCTCATAAAGTTGATAGATATGTTTCCTTCTCGAAACTGCATTTATCCGTTCACTTGAAATAAATATTCTTACGTAAACAAAACTTGAGACTATCGCAATAATAAAAATTCAATCAATATTTTACTGTAACTTCTGCAGACGTATCATTAGTGTGTATTTTGTTGTGTGTCAATTTATCAATTTTATATTAAACAATGAATTTGATAAAATTGTGTTTAATCTGAAAATGCAATGAACACATATGTTAAAATTCTGTGTTTTTTATAATAATCTTATGAAATATTTGCGGACAATTTATAAATTTAAACGATATTCTTTATAATATACACAGTAAATAAATGCGATCGGAACCACTTATTATTAGCCTTCTACAATATTTTGATATTTATGATTTTATATTTCTATGTTAGATGTCATTTCTGTTTGCATCCTTTCTCTTTCGCGGCCCCCACGGAATAGGAGTTTCTTGCCCCCAAGACGGAGATTTTGTCAAAGGTGAATCCATGGTGGAAGTATTACTTCCACCATGAATCCATAAATTGCGGTGACGATAAATGTCAAAAGAATCATATATAATTTTGTAAATAATGCCTTCAATCATCTAAGATTTTTATTCTACAGTTGAATGTCATTTCTAGAATTCTTGTTTTTATTATTATCTTCTAGAGATTTTTTTTGCGTCCAAGCCGTAAAGTAGGAGCTGATAATCTCGCTCTAATTATAATATCAATAATATTGATATTGTTAATTCAACATTTTTTAAAGCTCGAACACAATCCAGGCACGTTAATAAAACATGATACTATGTCTATAACTGTAGCAGAACATAATAATAAAGGAAAAGGTGCTATTAAAGAATATTACTGAAGAATGGTGCTCATATTGTAGACTGCTTTGCTCATATTATGTCGATTATTTGATGCTAGGACATGCTAAATACCTTTCCAATGACATACGAATATCTTCTGAGCATAGCAATGACAAATTTGTAGTGTTAAATAATTTGAATGATAAGCCATCGATCGAATAAAATGACATTAGGAGGTCAAAACTACTTTCGGCGAGGACTTAAGGAACTACGAGTAAACTTATTTTTTCTTGAATACTGCCATTATTATCTACAAAATTATATATGATTAATAATCGGACGCGGATAGCATAAAATGGGCGAAATTCTTTCATACTAACAAGATTTGATATCTGATATCTGCTTCTAAGCTTTCGCATCTGATGATTCACATAAAAAATGAAAATCAGTATTTTCGGGTATTTTTGCAATCTCATGTTGACAATCCCTTGTTGTGAGAATTTATAAATCAATGTCCCATATCCCAAACGAGAAATTAAAAACTCAGAAGTTTAGAAGGGTGAGCGTTATAATTGCACTTGACACACAAATTTTTGCCGCAAACTTTGAAATTCGCTCGATTAGACGCGCATACACATAATGCATACATACATATAATGCATACGTCCGCTCTACTGATACTTTCTACTTTTTGCATACCATTTTGTATAAGGATACGAGCACAAAAAAAGCAGATTTTCTGTTTTCTGAATCGACGCGAGCTATCGGCATTTAAGGTGGACACAGCAAATGCCTATTAAAGCAGGAAACCTGTCACTTTCTGAATCGATGTCTTGTAATTAATTAATTGTGTCTCTAACAAATTACTATCCCTTTCTATTATTTATAAGCTTAATTTAACATAATTGATAATTTAATATTGAATTTAAATATTAAATTACACAATACGTTATAAGAGTTTAAAATTCTTTGCTACTATTTTCCAATATTTTTCAAGAATTTATCTCTTAGAATGATGTTTATTTATGTTATTTATTCTCCCAATGGGAGATCTTATAAAGTTGCCGAAATTAAATTATCATTGTCCATTTTAGTGTTTGAAGATTTAACCGGCGTTTATATACAATCGAGAAAACTGAAAATTCATTTTGATTAATTCACCCGCGCCGGTATATGTGCGGACAAGCTTAAACCTGCTTTTACTATGTGCGGTCTCATAAGATAACACGCATATGTTCTTGATGTCGATCGCCACCGATCAACGTTGATTGTACAAAAAGCAAAAGACCTGCTTCTTTTGTACTCTAAGTATATATCGACCTCGGTATATTTCATTACTGAGTCATCGTTACTCATTCATTCCTAGATCATTATGTCG